CTCTAGCATCAACCCAAAAAATATTGATCATCTGATAATCATCATCACACTGAATTTCATAAAAAAAAAGTTTGAGTTTTCAACCTGTTTTCGTTTACAATAATTGAAAACAGCTTGAGCATCTCCAACATCTAAATTTTTTCCTCCGAAAATTTCTAATATGATTCCAACAATCTCTGTTAGAGAATGTTGATTCACCATTATTGAAAATGGTAGCAACCTTTCCAGTTGGTATGCCTTCTTCCTTAAATTTTTCAACAAGGCACTTTGCTGCACCACTCATCTTTTTATGACAACTCATATAAGAAATACTTCTTGGGCTAAGCATAACATGGTTATGATCATTGTTAAATGCAATTATAATCAAATTGCTATTTATTGTACCTCTTGAAACAACTAGTGAAGCTGGACAACCATTTTGAAAGGTTGAACACTTCTTTTTATTTCTATGTTTTTTCACTTTGTTTTGAACTTCATTGCAACATACCAAAATTGATCTCTTAGGTTTACTTGAATAAATACGTACTCCAAATCCTCTCTTCTTAGCAAATGAATTGTAGAATTCTCTAACTTTTTCAAAAGAAACAAATTCCATACACAAGGTTCAATATTGGTTTCCTTACCAATATTTGGAGCATCCAATATAATATTTTCATGCCATATTTCTAAGTGCTTGGGCTTAGCTTCAAAATCATTACCATTGTTGTCCATTATTTGCTGCTACACCAATTATAAAAAAAATTTAGTGTGTCAATAGATGCTATATGTCAATAATATATATAAGAAAATTTACGTATTTAATTACATTTTTTACTTTAAAGAAAATTATAAAGGTGAAACAGAGAGCAAAATATTGGTTATATATATATATATATATATATATTTAGTTACATGTCCAATAAAATCCAATAAATACATTCAATCAAAGTAGCGATACAGAGAACAATATATCAATTATATGTCAATGGGTGAAACAAAAAGGTGAAAATTGTACTTTAATAGAAAATACCTTAACATGCTCATGAGAGTCAAGGTAGCCAATGGAAAAGTTGAAAAAATACTTGTGTTTAGCTTCACTATTTCTTTTGCAAATATTTATCTAATTGCTTTTTTTTTTCTGCAAATGAAATACCATACGAACCAGAATCAATATCGAAGGGGAAATAAAAAAGTATAAAGGAAGCGGGACGGTCTAGTGGGAAACTTTACAAGAGAAGTTCTCTCGTAAGCCTTTTCAGTAACTCATGAGAAGCTCTCATGTGACCCTTTTTAGTAACTCATTATAAGCCATTAGATTTAAATAAAATAAAGGATGAGGATAAAGAGTTACTCCGAGAGTAAATGAATCTCTCCTCATGTGATTAATTAAGATATATATATATATGAGGATGGATTTTTTTTACTCTAGGAATAAGTCTACCTAGATTTATTCCATTCAATAACTCATGTTCTACATCAAATTTTAACGATTCAACCGTTCAATTTAAAGTTCTTAATGCATAGATCAAATTTGTAAATTTTTAAAAAATTTAAAAATCAGTTGATACTTCATTTTATTAATTCAAATTAATAGATAATTATAAAATTATTTTATATATTGATTTGAATTATTAGGTAAAGCTAACAAAAACTTCACCAGAAATAATGAACTATCAATTAAGATTAAATGCTTGTCTGGGAAAGTCTCCGAATCAATTATTCCTACCGTAACAAACATTCTAAGTAGTTGAACATTAGCGACTGATTTTAAGTAGTAAACATTCATCAATATAATTCAAGCTTTGCTACATTGAAGGGCAGGCGAATCCAAAACCAAAAATTTGTCTGGTTCAATAGAATTTTTTTCTTCCCATAGATACGGTCAATGCAGTATTTTAAAAGTTATAATCAAATATTACTCTCTATTTGTGGAATGTAATTTTCATGACAAACATTATTTTAATGCAGAAAATAATTAAATCTAAGTTGAGTAATAATTATCTATCCATATGTTATAAATTTAAATATTTCCTTTTAAAATGTAATATTTATAATTATTTTTTGAAACTCTGATATGTAAATGATAGTGTCATTGACTTGCTCTATTTTTTTGTTCGTTCTCTTTAATTGACTTGCTTTATTTTATTTATGTAGTTGAATTTTTTCCTTTATATAACACAAAAAAATGATTCAAATTTTAACTTTTAAGTGGTAGTTTTTTTTATAACACACGTCAAGAAAAGAAAAAGGTGAAAGATGAAATTGATATCATAATCTCTACAATATATATATATATATATATATAAGATGAATTTGTTAGGGTTTCTATGAGTAGAATGAGATGAAAATGGATCTTAGTTGGGGGAAGAAC